ACGGCCTCTACCAAGCAATCGTGGCCTTCAACATGTGTGGTCATGAGGTATCATTTACCGGCAAACTACGTCCATCGCCGGGAGCTAGCACACAAACAACGACTGCTAAAGGAATTCATCATATCAGAGAAGACCTCCACGTCCGTGTGGTGGATATCACATACCCAGAATACCGCAACGCTCTTAGGCAGAGTCGGATCCTACACAGAGACGTGGACGCTTTGGTGCAAGAGAATTTGTTTTTGTGCCAGTAGAGTTTGGAGCTTGGACGTGAAGTCATAGAGATGAGAGCACGAGTCGAAAGCAATGTATCGAGCAACAATCTGTAACATCAGTAGTTGTTTCGTCCCTTCTGTAGTCCACCCCACCCTTATGTTTAATTCCTATCTGGAAATTTTAATGTTAGTAGTTGTACCGTCGCTATCTACAAATTGTAATGGCAATAGTTGTGTACTTTTGATACTTACTCGCACTTTTGATACTTGGCCCAGGCCATCTCTGCCTCACCTGGGTACGTCCAGGGGAGCTCTCTCCTCCCTGTGCATGTGGTTCCGCTACCCGACTACCCCTGTGCCCTCCCTCTGAGACCATTTCTAGAAATTGGTTGAATCGCCTAGAGGCCGATCCGGTGGGTGCGGAGAGGTGGGATTTCCACCAAACCCACTCCCCCTATTGCCACTTACCCAACAAGCATCTTGAAACCTTACGATCACCCATTGGCCTGATTGCCAGAGCTGACGGTGGAAAATGGTGGTTCTACAAGAGCATTGTTTCCCACCGTCGGCCTTCCCCATTGGCCCGGGCCATCTCCACCTCATTTGGGTACATCCAGGGGACCTCTCCCCTCCCTGTGCATGTGGTTCCGCCGCCTGACTACCTCCGGGCCCTCCCTCCAGGACCGTTTCTGGGAATTGGCCGAATCGCTCGGAGGCCGATCTGGCGGGTGCAGAGGGGAAGGGTTTCCACCAAACCCACTACCCCCTATTGCCACTAACCCAATGACCATCCCAAAACCTTCCGATCGCCCATCGGCCTGATGGCCCGAGCCGACGGTGGGAAACAGTGGTTCTGCAAAAGCATTGTTTCCCACCGTCAGCCTTCCCCATTGTCTCGAGCCATCTCCGCCTCATCTGGGTACGTCCAAGGGAACTCTCCCCTCCCTGTGCATGTGGTTTCGCTGCCCGACTACCCCCGTGTCCCCCCTTCGGGACCGTTTCTAGGAATTGGCCGAATCGCCTAGAGGTCAATCCAGTGAGTGCGGAGGGGTGGGATTGCCACCAAAACCACTCCCCTTACTGCCACTAACCCAACGAGCATCCCGAAACCTTTTGATCCCCCACCGACCCGATGGCCCGAGCCCACGGTGGGAAACGATGGTTTTACAAAAGCACCGTTTCCCACCGTTTCCCACCGTTTGCCTTCCTCGTTGGATCGGGCCATCCGCCTCATTTGGGTACGTCCAAGGGACCTCTCCCCTCATATGCATGTGGTTCCGCCGCTCGACTACCCCTGCACTCCCCCTCCGGGACCACTTCTGGGAATTGCCAGAATCGCCTGGAGGCCGATTTGGCGGGTGTGGAGGGGTGCAATGGCCACCAAACCCACTACCCCCTACTGCCACTAACCCAACGAGCATCTCGAAACCTTACTATCGCCCATCGGCCTGATTGCTAGAGCCAATGGTGGGAAATGGTGGTTTTGCAAAAGCATCGTTTCCCACCGTCGGCCTTCCCCATTGGCCAGGGCGATCTCCACCTCATCTAGGTACGTTCAGGGGACCTCTCCCCTCCCTGTGCATCTAGGTACGTTTAGGGGACCTCTCCCCTCCAAGACCGTTTCTACGAATTGGCCGAATTGCCCGAAGGCCGATCCGACGGGTGCGGAGTAGTGGGATTTCCACCAAAGTCACTCCCCCTTACTGCCACTAACCTAATGACTATCCCAAAACCTTCCGATCGCCCATCAACCCGATGCCCTGAGCCGATGGTGGGAGACAATGGTTTTGTAGAAGCACTATTTTCCACCATTGGCCTTCCCTATTGGTTCGGGCCATCTCTGCCTCATCTGGGTACGTCTAGGGGACCTCTCCCCTCCCTATGCATGTGGTTACACCGCTCGACTACCCCCGTGTCGCCCCTCCGAAACCGTTTATGGGAATTGGCCGAATCGCTCGGAGGCCGATATGACGGGTGCGAAGGGGTGGGATTGCCACCAAACCCACTCCCCCTACTACCACTAACCCAACAAGCATCCCGAAACCTTACGATTGCCCATCGGCCCGATGGTCCGAGCCGACGGTGGGAAACGATGGTTCTGCAAAAGCACCATTTCCCACCACCGGCCTTCCCCGTTGGCCCATGCCATCTTCACCTCATTTGGGTACGTCCAAGGGACCTCTCCCCTCCCTGTGCATGTGGTTCTGGTGCCCGACTACCCCCTCGCCCCCCCTCTAGGACCGCTTCTGGGAATTTTCAGAATCACCCGAAGGCTGATTCGGCGGGTGCGGAGGGGTGTGATGGCCACTAAACCCACTTCCCCCTACTGCCACGAACCTAACCAGCATCCCGAAACCTTCCGATCGCCCATCGGCCCAATGGCCCGGGCTGATGGTGAGAAACGATGGTTCTATGAAAGCACTATTTCCCATCGTCGGCCTTCCTCGTTGGCCCGGGGCGTCTCCACCTCATCTGAGAACTTATAGGTGACCTACCCCCACCCCGTGGAGGTGGTTCCGCCGCCTGACTACCCCCGCGCCCCCCCTCCGGGACCGTTTCTAGGAATTTCTAGAATTGTCTAGAGGCCGATCTGGTGGCTATGAAGGGGTGCGATGGCCACCAAACCCACTCCCCCTACTGCCACTCACCCGTCGAGCATCCCGACACCTTCCGATCGCTCATTGGCTTGATGCCTTGGGCCGGCGGTGGGAAACGGTGGTTCTGCAAAAGCATCATTGCAAAAGTATCATTTCCCATTATCGGCCTTCCCCATTGGCCTGGGTTATCTCCGCCTCATCTAGGTATGTCCAACTGACCTCTCCCCACACCGTGGAGGTGGTTCTGTTGCCCATCGACCCCCGCACCCCCCTCAGGGACAACTTTTGGGAATTGGCAGAATCGCCTAGAGGCCAATCCAGCAGACTTCCCGGTTAGCCTGAGCTTCTTTGCCTCTTGCCGGAAGGTATCTTGGATGAATTAAGATATACTTCTTAGCCAAGAAAAAAATATCTTCTAAGCAATTTATGTTTATATATTGATATTTGAAAAGTCAAAATAATTACAATAAGATACAAAAATAGTTCACCAACATGGAAACAAAAGGGGGAGTCTTTCAACGCAATAGTAAAAACACTAAACCTACGTATTCACCATCAATGATGAACTATTACCAAAACACCAATGTAAGGAGAATAATAACAAAAAGAACAAAAACAAGTTGGTTAACTATAGCCATCCCTTCAATAGATAACTCATGCACTGATTTCATAGACTCAATCTGCCTTATGCAAACATCAACTATTCTCTCCACTTTTTCAAGGTGTTCTAGAACATCACCATGATGATTTCCCGATGCAACCTCATCGAACCAACCTCGATGAATTGCCCACTCAAAAAATTTGCAACCACCAATAGAATCACTTTCAGTTGTTGGGCTATCAAACACCTGCTCCTGCAAGTGCAACACATGTCATTAGCAACATATTTGCCTTATATTGATGCTATCAAATAATATCATCCCACTAAAAATATTACCTCAGAGTTGTTAAGGAGAATGCATTTTCATATTGCAATAGCAACACTTAGTTTCATATTGCAAACTACTCGGACATTCATTTCCGATACTCCGTTGGCTATTAATACCTACAAATGTTCAATAACCCACGATAACGACATTCATATCTTAATCAACATTAAACACTTAATTTGGATTAGTTAACATTCAAATATTCATTTACAGAGGTCCAATTAGGGAAAAAAAATGTAACAAAGTAAATGCACAAGTGGGCAAACCAGAATGAATCGATACACAGGCGTTGTGCCGAAAACACAGGCGGTCTTTGTGCGAATGACGAAGAAGAAGGTGTTGCGGTAAAATGCTTGACCTTCGAAATTTAACTTCAGTGAGTAAGATGCTATAGAGCTCTTGGTTCGAGTGAAGAAGAAGAAGACGTTGCGATAGCTTCGAAATTTATCTTTGGTGAGTAAGATGCTGTGTTCTGTTCGAATGAGGAAGAAGACTGAAACTGCTACGTTCGATTCGGATGAGGAAGAAGACTGAAACTACTGCATTCGATTCGGATGAGGAAGAAGACTGAAACTGCTGTGTTCGGTTCGAATGAGGAAGAAGACTAAAACTGCTGCGTTCGGTTCGAATGAGGAAGAAGACTGAAAGTTACCGTTGGTAGCTTTGGGTAGAAGAAGGCATTGCTCGATCGGTTCTTCGAGGAAGAAGAAGACGCAACTGGTTCAGTTCTTCGTGGAAGAAGAAGACGCTGTTGGTTCAGTTAGCTCCCCCTTAGAAGTCGACGATCGAAGATGTTTCTTCTGAGGTGAGCAAGAAGACGATAGAGACGCTGTTGCGTTCGGTTAGGAAGAAGAAGACGCTACTGGTTCGGTCAGCTCCCCCTCAGAAGTCGATGATCGAAGATGTTTCGCTTGGGGTGAGCAAGAAGACGACGGAGACGCTGTTGCATTCGGTTCGAATGAGGAAGAAGATGCTTTGCCTGGGGTGAGCAAGAAAACGACGAAGACACCGCTGCTGCATTCGGTTTGAATGAGGAAGAAAATTACCATTGAGATGTGGGGTATAATGGGATCTAAACTTTAACTTATCTGACGTGGCGGTGGAGTCAAAATAAATTTTACATTTATTAGGTGGGGTGGCATTGAATCGATTTTCCGTACATCCTTAATTGAATTTTCGACTTATGAGGGAGATCTGACCGAAGATCCCCTAAAATTTTTAGGCCAAAATCGGGCTTATATTTCAGGCCTGAAACCGAGCCTGGCCTATACGTGCTAAGCCCGACCCGGGCCTTGATCACCCCTAAGGCCCTATTTGCTTAGAGCCAGTCAACCAGATGTAGTCGTGGAGGAGCAGAAAAGTAGATTTCATATTTCCTAGTTTCCCCGATTATTGAGGTACACGACAGGAGGACGACGACAATGGTTGTATGCATCCGATTATCCCTTCTTTAAATGCTTTTTCTTCGCTCTGCCCCCGCTGCACTGGATTCTCGTATTAGGTCAGAATCAGATCCATCTGATTTGTCACCTCTTCATTTCTCCTGAACTCGTTCTTTTGACAAGTTACAGTAATCCAGGATGTATATGGCATACGGATGGCCTCAACTCAAGTCATCCCGCTTCAACTAGGGCTCTGCCCAGTTCCCGAGCAGACCTTCTATCTTAAATTCATCAATCGTTTATTGCTCGTCATCGCTCCCTCTCACATAGAACTCTGGAACTCTTCCCAGTTTTTTATTTTATTTTATTTTATTCAAACCTTTGGATTTGTTGTAGCATTTTTTATTTTTTTATTATAGTTTTCTAAAATTGCTGAGATTGCGGCTCAGCATAAGGTGAAGGGAAGTACTACAGAGATTCAGATTCAGTGCTAAGGGAGGGGGAGAATTCGCAGGCTGTCAGGACTCCTAGCACCAAAATAATTGCCGTTCTTGTAAGTTTTTTTGTTCGTCGATTGTAAATTTCGGGGTTTTTTTTTCCTGCTGATGGATTCTTGAATTAAGTGCATTGTGTTTAGGTAGGATCAATTATACTTTTACAGTACCAGTTCTTGGTAGTTTTGATAACACTTAAGTTGTAGTTAATTCTGCTTCAGTATACTCCTTTTTTCAGTGAATTTAATTTCTTTGTAAATATATGATTCGCCAAGAAAGTCCCTTTTTTGGGTTTAATAGCGAATTATTTTTTTGAATCGTAGACTTGATGGAAAGGACATGTTAATTTTGCTTTGCCCATAATTTGCAATATTACCATCTTACGGAGGATACGCCTTCTTATACCAGTATCTATTGGCAAATTTTTGAACTTAGTTAATAACTTAATATGTTTGTTGAGATTACATTGGACTTGACGACATTATTGCAAAACTGACTGTTCCTTCTATGTGTTTTCTTTTTCATAAGTTCATTTGGACTGCATAAAAATATAACAGATTTATGTGAAAAATATACAGACATGTATGTCAGTGTCCAATACTGATACGAGGTGTACCGCATGACAACTTTGTAAATCCTGAATTGACTTTGGCATTGTAGACATGTTCTTGAAACAGGAAAATGGCATTATGCTCTACGTGACCAACTTTCATAAAATGGAGTTCTCTTGTTAAATGTTAAGTATATGTCAACCCAGATGGTAAACTATATTGATGAAGCATATACAAAAATGATTTCAAGTAGTGTACACGAGAATTACAAGTGCTTGCTCCCTTTCTATTTTCCATTTTTAGCTCTAGTACATGGCTATATCGTTCTTAATATTTCCACTCCTAAATACTTCCACTCCTGTTCTTCCCATTCTATTTCCTGCAGACATCTTCCTTCTTCCTTCAAATTTTTAAGGTCCAGTAAAAAATGATTTAAGTTTATCCTAAACTTCGATGGTGCAAGTTTTGTTCGGGTTTCCATGGAAGTGGAAGCTTCTTGTTTCTTTTTAGTGGAAGTTTAAAACCATACAGTGAGATTATTAACATAGGCTGGAGGCCACCCAACCAACAAGGTAACTATATTTTACTTTCTTGAACCTCCTTGTGTCTTTCTTCTTGCTTTAAGCACCGGTTAAGGTTATAGTATTGTGAGGAACTTCTTGTGGGAATCAGGAGAAACTAAAAAAGGAACATCCCATTAAACGGAATACTATGTGTAGATCAAAGGAGGAGGGCCTTGAGTTGAGTAAAATAAATGTAAGAAATATATCCTTGTTGGGTACATGGTTGTGGGGATCCTGTCTTGAGTTTGACAAACTATGGCACTCTGTGATTAAGAGCATTCATGGATTACAATGAATGGGCAGGATGCTGATTTGGCCCAAAGAATGATCTTAGCCCCTCATTGGAAAGCTGTTCATTCCACCCTTGACTGTTTCACAAAGTTCATGGGATATGACCCATGGTAGGATAACTTGGTTAAATTTTGGGAAAATTTATGGTGGGGTGATTTTATTCTATTGAATAAGTTTTTGATACTTCATTCTCTTACTAAGATTTGGCAATATCCTTATTTTTTTCTTCCACAAATATTCCTTAATTTTGGGACTATGGATGGTTTCAGCAAAGGCCTGAGGGACTTTCAGATTTTGGTGGTTTTAGATCTTCTTACTTCTTTGGAAGGGGTCTTCTTTGATCCTTCTAGGATGGATGAGAGAATTTGGTCAATTGATAATCTTGGCCGCTCTTCTTGTGCTTTAAAGCCTTTTCTCAATCTATGCTTCCCTTCTTGAACTCTCTGGTAAAAGCAATCTGGTTAGATCCCATACCTTCAAAAGTAAGAGCTTTTTAATGGGGGGTATTCTATTTAAAGTTCAATACCTGTGATGTTTTCCAAAGATGAATGCCTATTTGGACACTCTTGTCTCATATTTGCTTCCTATATGGTGGGGATAAATAAGTTGTTATGATCCTTCACCTATTGATATGATTGTAATCCATTTTTGTGTTAACTCGAATTTATTTATAGCTAAGATTAGGACTTTTGATCCTTGTGTATGCGGGTTTTACTTTGAACCAGGGAGGTGATTAAAAGACCGTATGGCTTTCAATGGTGACACAGCCAAAAGCAATGTAAATAGATAAAGGGTGTACTCGGGCTGGTCGGAGGGGCTATGAGGGGCTGTGTAATGCTAAGCACCTTTTGTACAGGCCATAAACATTCTTTTCCACAGTTAATAAAGATTACAGTTACTGATAAAATATAAAAATAACCTTATCATTTTTTTTTGAAAAACAGATGTAAGTTGTAAATTATTCATTCATTGATTTATTTTGTAGTTTAATAGTTTGTAATTAGCATGTAATTTCATGACACATATACTTCATTTATTTTTTGTAATGTAGTTGATGTCTAGTTAAGAAGCAGAATGTCCAAAAAATGAGTGTGGCAGAAATACAAATGCTTAGATGGATGAGTTGTAAAACTAGAAAGGACAGGGTTAGAATCATACAGAGGAACCTAGGAGTAGCTCCAATAGGTGATAAAATGTGAGAAATTATACTGAGATAGTTTGGTCGCATACATAGAAGACCATCTACATCACCTGCTTGAAAAAGTGATCTCTTACAAGTTGAAGGGGCTAGAAGAACTAGGGGCAGACCAAAAAGCACTTGCGTGGAAGTAATAAGAAATGATTTAAGTGCCCATAATTCAAAAATGGATATGGTACTGAACAGAATCGATTGGCAAAACAGGACTCGTGCAGCTACGCCATATACTCAGGACAAGGCTTAGATGATGATGAGGAGGAGGAGGAGGGGGAGGAGATGTTTAGGCAACTGGATACCTTCACTACACCCTCCAACTCTTGAACAACCACCTCCCATTTAAGGGCACTGCTAGGGTAACCTTCTACTGAACAATTAGAGGAACACGTATTTTAGCAAGGACCATAATCATAGTTTTTAAGGACTATAGCTGATTCTAGGCAACAGTGGAGTGCTTATATGCCTAGGCTATAGAATTTTATAAAATAAAAGAAACTAAATTCTAGGTTAGTTCCCTAGTTTTATGTACCTATCAGTATGCATATAAAGTGGAAAAACAAAAATTCTCTATCATCTTTATTGATAATATTAAATTTACTTTCAAAACATGGCCAATAATCATATTTAACAGAAAATAATATTTTAAATAAACTATTTCAATATTTTCAAAATTAACACAATAATATAATAAATGTTTAAGAGAGAGAGAGAGAGAGTTCTAGGAAGAAAAGAAACCTCTTTTATCTTTTTCTTCTTTCTTTTTCTCTTCTCAAAACCCTTGACTCTTTTAAATTAATAGTAAAAGTAGAGGTGATCACTTTCTGCCTAGCCTGGCCAGACATCCCAGGCTTGGGCCTAGGTTTTATGTTCAGGCCCAGTCTGGACCTGCATCAAGCCTGAAAATTTTTTGGCCATGCCTGGGACCAGCCTGAAAACATATATTTGATATATAATATTTAAATCTATTAATAAGTTAAGACATTTAAAGTAGTACAATTAAGATATTTTCAAAATCTAAATGTCTTTTCATCTTTGGAAACTGGTGGTTGTTCAAATATTTGAGTTTTTAAATCTAATTTGACTTTGAGTTAAGACATTTAAAAGAAAAGTATAAAATAATATCCACTTGTTTATCAAAAAAAATAATATCCACTTGTCTTTTTATATTTTTATTCTTACTAGAGACCTTAGCATACTGCATAGGTGCTAAGCCTGGCCCAGCTCAGCTCGTGGTCATCCCTAAGTAAAATCTAAAAGCAGCCTGTTATGTAGGCGCCAACTCCCAGTTCTTTCTCTTCTTTCTTTTTGAGTTTAGTGACAGTTCTACGTGACCAAATTTTCCTGTTCAAAAGAAGATCTCTTTTCTTCTTCATTCTCAACAGGAATGCATCAAACAAAACTGGCTTGTCTCAGCAAGTGATTGGTCGCCTAGGCAGGTGCCTAATTGTATAGACGCCTTTTGATACAAGTCAAGGTGGTCGCCTAATTGCCTAGGCAAACATCTGCCTAGGTTTTTCCTTGACAACGATGATTCCCAGATACAGGTATGGACATGGACATAGATATAAGTAAACAGGGATACAACTCTCCATTTTCTAGAATCCTTGATGCAGATAGAGGTACTGTATTATCACATTTAGTGTGTTCATATCTAATTTTTGAAGCTAAATGTCATGTTTTCAAGACTTACATTTTGCAAGATTTAATAAAGTTTCTAATATTTACAATCTTTTTATGGTATAATTTGTTCAAACATACCATTGTACGTTTACATATAAGTGTTAATGCTATAAAGCACATCTAGAGGTATCCATGCAGTATCCTTTATCACATCTGACACCGGTATGCTAGCCATGTATAGGTATCTAGGTGTCATAGCTTGACACTTGATCACATTTAAGCCTTTATACTTTATTTTTTAGTTGATTGATAATGGAAAGAATACAGTAATTGATGCACACAAAAAGTGTGATATTTTTTTTGAACAATTTAGTATTCCCTATATGAAATTGCTCCTGTAGATTATACCTTATTAAGCTTTATAACTTGATTCCAACTGGCATTATTCTCTTAATAAATGATTGAATGGCCTCAACATGAGCTAGCAATAGCATGGGACTTCAACTATGATCATATAAGTGCTTATGGAAGGAAAATGTGTACTATTTTTTACTATATTGTGATTTGAACCCTCAAAGTTACAAGAAGTTGGGTAAACAAATAAAGTACAAAGTTATTATATGCCTACTATGCAGCTTCCAGTATGTAATCAATGCTTACAAGTCCCCTGTTGGGGTATCAGGAATGTTGCTAAGTTTCATCAACTTTAAATTAGATATGTCAGAATAAGAAATTATCGGTATTCTTAGCAGGTATCTTACTTTTGTTATATCTTGTAGCTACAAATGAGCAGTACTTTGTAGAGCTGGTTAGCTGCTGAATTCCTTTTGGCTCATATGTGTTCAGTGAAGTTTAAAGAGTGGATAGTCATCTTGGGGAATCCTGGACCTTCAGGTATTGGAGGTATATTTAGAGATGAGGAGGGTAAATTCATTGCTATGTTCTCAGGGCCAGTTGGAGGAGACTCCCTGAGAGCAGAAGTGTTGGAAGTAATGGAAGGCATGCAAAGGGCAAAGCTGATGAACATTCAAAAGCTAATTGTGGAAGGAGACTCTAAACTGGTGATTAGCTGGTTACAAGATGGGGGGTTGAAACTGTGGCTTTTCAATAATGAAAGGAAGAAGATCAGGTGGTTAACCAGAGTTATGGAAATAATTGTTGGGTGGGTTAAGAGATCTGCTAATTCTGTAGCAGATGCCTTAGCCAAACAAGGAGCGGAGAGAGACTCATTGTTCTGGGCACAACTGTAAGGGATCTGGTTGTTTTGAGATGAGAGGTTTTATCTCTCAGTCTGTCTGTATATAATGTATTGGCAACACTTTTAAGACGTTCAGAGGTATTCCTGGACTTTGAACCTGGTACAGAAAATGTCGTTTCCTTGTTGATCTTAGGTTAATCAACAATTGCTGATCTCATTTCACTCAATTCAATCTGACCTCACATCACAAGCATGTAGATCTAGTGTTGCTTATAATAAATTTCTACACCTTTCTTAATGGGATACTTTGGGCTAAAGGACCTAATTTCTTTAAAAATGCACACATTTGTTTATACAATGTCAGTATAATATTGGAAACTAGGTAAAGTTCTCTCATTTATATTACACAAAAAAATTAGCCTAGTAAACTTATAATTATCTGGACTGACCTGGATGGCTGGATCAACTACCACCCATACCATACAATTCCCCTTGCTAATTTACCACCCATACTATATGGGACCACCTTCCATGAAAGCCCTACCCATGGATTAGCTTAGAAGGCCATACTAACCAATTTTAGACCATAGTTAGGAAACTTACTATTCACAAGGATCCACACAACTGGCTTTTCCAACTAAGGGGCACTCATGATTCATGAAAGACATGGCTAGAGATACATAAATCATGCATCTCTGAGGTGCATAAATCATGCTTGTAAACATCTAAGTTGTCAGACTCGACTGGACATAAAACTGTTTTGGTCACTGGGTCATGACTGAATAGTTCAATTGTCTAGTTTGACTGTTTGAATTGCTCAAATAAAGAATGTGAAAATAAAAATGGTTAGATTGTCTTTTAAATCTATTTTCGTCCAAATGATCTTAGCACAATAAATATTAGAGGTTATAACACATTAACACGTGTATTTAGGGTCAATCTTACTAAGTCAACATTTCTAAGAACCAGTTAACTCAAAAACCATATTGGTTTCTGGTGAATGGCCCAACCATCTGGTGTGATGGAATGGCCCAACCATCTGGTGTGATCCAAGTCAGACAACACTGAGAGAAATGCAGGGGAAGAAAACAGAGGAAAAAGTATATTTTGTGGTTTCTTTCATATTTTGTTCATGTAAACCTGAAACGGAACAAAGAAAGACAAAAATTCAAATGGAATTTATCTTACGTTTTCTTTATTTAACCCTGAAAGCCTTTTTATTATGTGATTATCCTCTGATGTAGAATCTTATGGGACTTTGAACATCTTTTATTTGATCTTTTTTGATATGATATGCAGTTATGGAATGCATACATGACAACCCTTCAGGTACGTTTTTTTTTTTTTTCTCATTAGAGCTTCTTCCCTGCCATAAACTGTAAGAGTGCTTGTGTGTGTTTCCTACTACCACCCAGCCTTCTTGAAATGCTTCTATTTGATTTTTCAGTCGCAACCAGCATTTACCGAATACCACAATCTACTGAAAGTGTTGTAAGAGAAAATCTAATCCATCCCAAATTTAGAAAAGGAAATAAGCAGGGAATTGGATATCTCATTTCGTGTTAAGACAATCCCAAGTTTTGTCTTAATGGTGAATGACTGCTAACTGATACAAGCCCAAAAGACGGTTGATCTTCTCCCTGTACGAGTGAAACCAATGATTTTCTAGAAGTGATTATATAGTGAACTTCAACATGTAAATATCATTGTAAGGCCTTGATTTTCCTATAGAAAGTTAGAGCAGAAAGATGGAAGGTTCAGCATAATTTTTATTATCTGCATGGGTTATTTATTATTTTTATTTTTCCCTGTTTCTTCCCTCTTCTATTGAGTCTTTCAGGAGAAGCAGATAATGTAACTTGTGTGGGAATTCAGTGGGTTCAGTCATGCTTGTGCTTTGATCTATTAACATCGACTTCTGGGGTAGACTGAATATGTGTCATATTATAGCCCAGGTGCGGAAGCGCCTATGATATGGGCTATAGCCCAGGTTGTGCTGAACTCTGGACTGGAGCACAGGCCCCTTAAGAAGGATGTATAACTCCCGCACCAATGTTATTTTTGGATTAATTGCTTCTTCTGCAAAATATATCCACTTGATAACTATGAACAGATGTTATGCATTCAAAGGAAGAAAATTCTCCCGAGTTTGTTTACATTTTGAGGTAATTAACATTCAACAACAAACCATACTTGTAAGAAGAAAGGGACAAGGAAAAAGAAACCTGCAACAAAAGATGAGCCGTGGTCTTCTTTTTATTTGAGATGGTATACGGTGTATCACCAGCTAAAGCTGATAGATTCGAAATAGAGGTTATCTACCAAACCAGATGAACATATGGTTGCAACCTCATGTCGCATTTTCTTTGGGCCACAAGCAAGAACTCCAACGCTTGATCCTTCGCTCTCAAATAGAAATCCTGCAGAGACAGCAAAGCTTACTTTCCGGTTTCAGCTTAAACAAAACTAAACCAATTTGAGGTTTTTGTTTTAATCGCCTAATGTTTGCCCCTTCCATTAATTCTTGTAGAAAAGAAGTAACCTACTCTTAAGATCAGGTCTTCGACCATAGTGGACCTTGGTCACTTGGAGGAGGGATTGGTGGGGAAAGCTTTCTAGCTCTCGATCAGCGTTGTGGAACCATGATCGTGGTGATGTAATTGGTGTTGGGCAATCTATGTTTTGGATTTGCTTAGTTTCCATGGCATTTTGTTTCTTGCTCCAGTGAACAGCTGCACCGGCTGTAATGGCTATGCAGGCAAATATGAATAACATGTTTAGAAGAGCTCTTGAGGAGAAGGGGTAGATCTTGTTGGTATTGTGATCAATAGGGTATATGCAATAACGGTTGAGGATACCAAGTAGAAGAAGAAAAATTATGAAAGAAGATGAGATTATCATGGAAAGCCAAAGCCAGCTATTTGGGCCAAGAATTCCAGATATGGGTGCGTCAGCTGCATTGGGCTTGAACCAGATGGTTGGTAGGGGCTTCTGGTTCTCAGCTTTTGGCTCTTTCTCTCTTGTTACATAGGCCTCGATCTGTAGTTGCACACGGGAAATATCAAAGGGGGTGCTGGATACAGGGAGAAGGAGGTCTAGCATGGTGAGATCTGCAGAGCTTCTGAAGGCACAAATGAGGAAAACTCGCGGCGTGTTGCCGCTGTGCGTAATGCTCCGAAAGATGATCTCTCGAATAATAGAAATGAAAGGAGTGATGCCACTTCCTCCGCTTACCATCACAAGCATGTCGTGCCTGCATCCATGTAAATTTCTTTGTGTCAAGTGGGGTCAAGTTTGAAAGCATGTTGGTGGGTTTAGTTGCTGTTTAGAAATTAAACCTCAGAAAATGAGTACAAGCAGGTCCATAGGGTCCTTCAATAGAGACTTCAAGACGGTCCATAGATGAAGGAGATGAAAGTGTCTGGTAAAGCTTTTGGGACCAATTCCCACCGCCTTTGACGACAAGAGTTAGCTTCTCTGGATCCATATTACTGTTGGAGCTTATGGTGAAAGGGTGCCACTGTAGCTTGGAAATGGATGGCACGTTGATGAAGACGGTACTTGTGGGGTTGTAACTCAGACCTGGGGTAAAGAAAACCAGCACTGTAATTTCTTCTTTAAGAAGGGTCAGAAAGATTTCATCATAGGCTTTAATTTATATATGCACAATGATATATGTTAGCCTAACCTGGGCTCTTCTTGAAAGTCAGTTCAACAGCTTCACAGGGTAGAAGACGAGCTGAAACCAACCGAGCTCTTTGCCTTGATTGCAAGAATCGCAAGTAACGATCCACCAAGAAGAGATAGAAACCAGGAAGCATTATGCAAGCATAGGAGATCCCTACATGTAGTACGAAGAAGAAGAAGAAGAGAGTGTAGAGGTAATGGGTACAGAAGAAGAGCTCAAACATATTTCGCCTAATGCGAGGTAAACTGGTGACCCACATGGCTAATCCACAGACCAATGCCAATTCTCCAGCCACATTAGATACCCCAATCTTATCCCATTTTAGCATCTGCATTGAAACCAAAAATTATTTGTAAGTTGCTAAAGTGCTGTACTGAATGACTTATTGCTTTTTTTTTTTTTTTGATCAAATAAATAAATATTCAAGGATATAAATATATAATAATCAACCCAATTTCAGCTTCCCTGAAAAGGACAAATAATAAGCCCATCCCAATCCCGTCCAATTAAGATCAGAGACCAATAACACTAGTAATGTATATGCATATTTTTATGTAACATCAACTTATTCTTATTGATAAAGGTGGTCTAAATATCATATTTTCCTTAACGGCTCATAAATTCAGGTCCCGTGGAAGTTATTTTTAATTTATTTTAACAAAAAATGATATTTTGTTCATTTTGTAGTTTAGTTTGTTAATGATATATAATATCCGTATATGATCGAAATCCAAGAGATAGAACCCAATTCGAGTTCAGACAATAATAGGTTTGTATTCAAATTTAACTCATTTACAATCCTAATTTAGTTCAGCCACTTATCAAATGGCCACTAGTCTCCTTTAGTTTGTTTCCTACCTATTCATAAATTTATAGTAAGACTATTTAGTTAAGAGGGCTACATATGACACAGCTTTTCCCATCCAGGTACTTGGGTGGGTTTGGTCGGGTTGGGGGTCAATTCAGGCCTAATCCGAACTTAGTCCAACACAACTCGGGTTGGGTTGGGCTGGTATGAGTGGATTGGTCAGTTTTGAAATGGACAAAAATATGTATAAATTTTATTAATATATATATATATATATATATAATTAGAAAAGATATTTTCTATAAATAAGATGCATATATGAATGTTCAAAACACACCCCACAAAACAACCACCAATGCATACAAAACATCTCCTCCTGATAAATTGGGGAGATGTTCCCAATGCAAAGGTGGATCAAGCTGTGGAGTGCACTATGTGGGGAGCCCATGCACTCTCACTAGGGGTGTAACTTTGGTGGCCCCAACCCAAACTCAGATTGGCCCAGTCCACTATACGGGCTGGGCTTAAACTTATCGTCCTTGGGCTGGGCCTGGGTCCAAAAGTTTAGGTTTATAAATTTTTTGGGCTGGGCTTGGTCCTAACCCTTAAGAAGTTTAAACCTGGTCCAATCTTATCCTAACCCAAGCTTGGCTCCATTATATACATGTATATGCACATAAATAAACATATATTTGCATATACACATACATATATACATAATTTTTTAATAAACTATACATACATACATACATGCAAACTTTTTTTTTTTCAAACCCCAAACTTTACAACTGGTGGAGGAGGGGCCACCACAAAATTTTTATTAATATAAACAAGAAAGCCTATGTGGTGGTGTGGGGNGGGGGGGGGGAGAGGGAAGGACAAAAAGGCATTACCACTCTAGAAAAGCACTCACACGAGCCCAATCCAAATGCATCAAATTTTAGTGTCGATTGGGTTCGGGCTGAATAGTTCAGGTTTGATCTTCCGAGCTCATGCTGGATAATTCAGGCTTGGACTAGGTTCAAGCTTTAAGCCCAATTATTAGGGTTATACCTAGGTTGAATTAAAACCCGGCCCAGCCCACCCAACTTGCACCCCCCCTAATCTTCACCTCCACGTGGTGGGAGAATGGTTCTAACGCCGGGATCAAACAGGTCTATAAGACGATGATGTTATAAAAGTATGTTGATTCGGTCAGCTAAGCGAAAACCTGGGTCAAACCAAACCGTTTTTGGGGCCAAACAATTATCTATTTAAACTTTAAAGCCTTCTATATTCACTAGAATGTTCGAACAATAAAAAGCATTTGTTTTAGAATATACCAGAACATTAATCAAGAACATTTGTGATCAAATTCCAGAATAATAATAAAAGGCACGTGCATTAAGTGTTAAAGCATTTCAGAATAATTAAAGGTAAAATGGTAAAGACAAAAATCCACCAAGTTTTTTTGGAGTGTGTGAGACCCAATTTACCATAAATAACCCACACGGCCACACCCAAATTGAAGGCCTTTTGGACCCACTATTCACAGACCCATTCCCTCTCATTCATATGTAGGCAGCCCCTCCATTAGTCTGACAAGATTTTCTTCTCTCTTCCTTTTTTTGTCTCCCGGGTTTGAACTCATCCTCTTCATACCTTTAAGCTGTGTTTGGTTTTAAAGAAAAAGTAGGAAAAGAAAAGGAAAAATAGGGGAATATATAAATCTTGTATAAATTTTTTTATTTTTTTCTTCCTTTCCCTACTTTTTCCTTCATCCCAAACATAGCCTTAGGGTGAGACCACAGTCCATTGCCTTATAAGCTATGTATTTGGTTTCGTTTATAAACTTCCTCCAACATTTGTACTTTATTTGCTTGCAAAACCAAGAAAGGTAATTATTATAATCGTTTATGACAATTAAGCACCACATCAGCATAACAATGAAAAAATATCTAATCATTTGAGGAAGTTTTAAAAAATAATTTTCCTAAATGGTAGATGTATACAGAAACCGAAATCACTTTTTACTATTCTCGTCTTTTCGATGCATACGGAAGAACATGAGAGAAAACTACTATGTGACAATGTTTATTGAATAAACACCCAGGAAACCGAACACCCAAGAGATGAATTCGTAATCTCAATAAAAAATAATAAAATAGAAAATATAAGAAAAATAAAAAATTAGTATATATTCATCATATAAAATAAAAATAATTGCGATAAATTCGTATGGCATCAAACAGTTTGATGATTTGACTAATCAAAACACTGGTCTGACTGCCGCGGAAAACATATATATCCAACTGCAAATGGTAAAAGACAGATAGAGCCCAATTTGAACGACTTTTTTTTTGAAAGATCAAAGACGGAAGGATGATGTTTAATGGGGCCCAACCCAAAGGAATGATGGATTAAACCTTTGGACCTCACTTAAGTTGTCACAACTCAGAAGCCCTATTTGCAGAGTTGACGACAAAGAACAAAATAGCGGCAATTAATAAAAAGGATGCCTCCTCCAACTCTTTAGTGGCGCACCAATGCACCATACACCTACCAGCAGATTGGGGGCCGGAAGCCACATACGCCATTAATGGAGATTCTTTGGTCCCTTTCTATCAACATTATCTATGTTTCTGCATTTTACCTTTTCCAACCCTTCCTTGTTCAAAAACAAGTTAACTGGATGGATATAATTAATATTGGATCGTAGACCAAGAAAATTACTCAGAAACAGTCTCATTTTAGATGACACTAAACGCATCATCACCAAGGAAGAAGCAATATTAATCAGTTTTCCTCTCACCATAAAGAACTAGCTATAAAAATAATCTATTACGAGTACAGAGACAGAAAAACGTATTTTCTGTAACATACATATATAATCATTTGTTGTGAACAAAGATATAGATTTTATATCAAATGAACGTAGTTAATTACTGAGAGAGGAAGACGTTAAGCTACTGGAATTACCTCCGAAATTTGATGGGTTGTGGCCCAAAATATGATGTAACATAAGCCATGAGAGGTGAAGAGGGTCATGACCATATGTCCCAGCCAGATATGGTATTTGATGCTCGATTCCGATGTGAGACCCAGAAGTGGTAACACTGAGGAACCTCGAGTCACAGGGAAAAAGAGAAAGGCAAGACATACGTTGCCAACCAGGCCTAGCCTTAAAGCTGCACTGTCCAACTTAGCTTGCCACCTGTCATGCACAATAATTACACCATTAATTATTCCAAGTTCCCTTAATTAATAATCACTTAGTCTCAATACTGTCTAATCATTTTTGTTAATCATATTTATATATTTAAGAAATTGATCATCAAGTAATGAGGAACTATCCATTACAGGTGCTCCCCCTTCTTTTCGGCAGCCTGTGGAGTAAGCTTTGCGAAGCTGACGTGCAAATATGTGGAGAAAGACCAGACCAAGAGTGCAATGAACATGGCGAAGAAGGCTAGCTCTATCCCTGTAACAATCCCTAAGGGACCTTTCACTAGAACAGGCCGCTTCCATAGGGCCAACCGACTACTTTCAGCCGGGTTTCTGCTAAGAAGACATTAAAATTAACCAAGCAAAGTCCATCATTTATTCATAACTTGGTTGAGAGAGAGAAGAAATTAAAAATAATGAGACTGTTGATCCATGGAGAAGAGATTAATTGTACAGAACACATACGTACCTTTGGATGTACTGATGATCACCATATTTCTTCCCCAAATGGAGATAAAAACAGCCCAAAACAGCAATGGAAAGGACAGGAAATGTGTAGACCAGTAGTGTTGCTCCTGTGATGACAAAATAAAGAAAGAACCATGCATGAAACTAAATCATCAGCAACTCATTCATCATCAAGTAGTGACATGTCGAGTACTAAGAGATGGGATGATTTGGGAGCATACTCATCATCATCATCAGAAAGAAGAAGCTACAAACCTTGGACTCCGAAGTACGTAGAATTGGCCTTTGCTCGGATACTGGGCAACCATTTCTGCTTATACGTAGAGGTGGGCATCATGATCCAGATTATGAGAAACCCAAGTGAGATAACCAAGATGAACAACATTAACGCTGCTCGGACGGCCTTCATCATCCCTTCTCCTTTCGTCATGTTCTCTCTATATATTGCTATCAAGCTCTAGCTACTACTCCAAACCTCACTGCTGGTTGGAGGGTTTGTGTTGTTGACACCCTTTATTTATAGCCGAATTATTATTATTTTTATTATTTTTTAATTTTATTATAAGATAAAAGAAGGAAATTTTTGGGGGAAGGAGCATGCTTCATGTTCAGCTTACACAGTGCAAAGTTGCTTTTGCACGCCACGCCTGCAGTTATGGCGATCGACTTCCATTCGAGAATGTGCATGTGTATTAATGTCAGAGTCAAACGATGTGTTGGGGAGTATATATGTATGTAAGTAGGCCTAGAAAGGAGATGAGTGGGCAAGCAAATTAAGATTGATGACGATGATGGATTAATTAATAATAATTTACAGATAACCGCAATTTATGTGTCTCCTGGCTTTGCCACTTCTTGGGAAGAAGCGGTGGAAGTTAAAAGGAGAGAGTTTGGATACTTGGGAATGGGAATTAGTGGAAAAAAAATCTTCAACTTTTGAAACAAATCAAGTCTCACCCGGATTTTGAGTGGGTTATACTGTTTGTTTCTAATCTCTGTTTTATTCCTCTATATATTATTTAATTTCAAGTTGTGGTGGCGTGTGTCTGTGTGTGGTCGTTGCGTGTTGCACAAGTGGCCAGGTTGACATGTAGTTCCCCGGGCGCGTGTGGTCGTGTGTTCTTGTCTCTCTAGTCTGTACAATGGATGGATATAAAAGAGCTGAGAAGGCTTTTGGTGGAGATGGTGCACGCCATGGCTCCTTCATGGAACTGGGCATATATATGCGTCCGTCATCCATTAATCTCATGTTCTTCTGCCACCCTGATGACCAAATCCCCACTGCCCTCAATCACAGACCACCTCTGATATAGGGCATCGATCATAATATATAATCCGGAATTCCTACAAAAAAGTCTCTTCTCCTCTCTGGTCTCTACTCACTCAACCACACTACGCCTGTCTCCTTCCTTCAACAACTGGCCACTTGGCCAGTTTGTACTAAGGGGGTTGTTTAGCTCCATTGTCCACTATTTAATGGTTGAAAAATGGTTTTTTGATAATTAGGCACTTGTCATTAGACCCTATTAGGCGTGATTAGGTGCCACATAATCTGAATAACAAAAAAATACACATTAAAAAAGAAGGTTCATCTAACACATGGTTTTAACATTAACCGAGACAAATATTTGTTTGATAAACGATTTAACCAAACAATGCGTCAAACTCTATTGAAGAAACACCTATGAATTTGAGACTCTAATTAAATCATAACCTACTTGAATTCAAGCCATTCAGCCAGCCACGTTCTCAATCAAGAATCTAACCATCCAAAACGGATGCTAGCTGGGTGGATTGGAAAATAATAGTTGGAACATATTCTTAGTTTGGAATGGGTGCATGGAATTGAGTAACAATTTGTAAACATGATGAGATTTTACTTCTAAGGCTTCGTTTGGAAGAGGTGTAAATACAAAACTATGTAAAAGCAAAAGCAAAAGATGAACTGGATAGATGCTACTTTTACACTGTTGTGTGTTTGGAAGAACAGTGTAAAACGTGAAAGTATTTTCTACAAGCGTTTGAAATTAACATGGGTGTAAAACTACCCTCGCCCATAACTGCCGATTGGTACCAATTTCACAGAAGAGGAAGAGGCCTTAGAAGCTTGGGGTGCTTTACCAATGCCATTATTGAAGTCGAAACCCAGGACATTAAAGTCACTCAACATCACCAGCACCATCGTCGTAGGTCCAGAGAAGATCTTCATAGGAGAGACCATTTTCGCTGTCAATGAAGTCCCCGTAGGCTCTGAAGACCTCATCAAGGATTGCATTGATTTGCTCATTTAACCCTAGGATTTTCGGTGACGACGAGATACACCATTTCTTGCCTATTGGGACCTCCATATTTATTCATATCGAATTGCTGAAAAATTCTTTTAACCTTCTCTACTCTGGTACCCCTTTAATCCATTTTTGGGTGTTTTTCTTCCTGTTGGTTTGAGCTCTCTATTTTCTTGACAATAATAGCGAAGAGAAGATGAAGAAAGGCAACTAAAATAAGATAGATTAAGGGAGAATGACTGATAATCCCAGGGTCAGAGTTTATAGGCTCAAAGTACATTTGGGGTAGGTGTCAGCTCAGAATTGATGTCAATTCATGGGCGGATATGGGTGCATAGAATGTGATTTTTGGACTTTCTGAATGCTTATAGCTTTGCAGTGAGAATCAGAAATCTACATTAAACCTGTTCATGCTTTTCCGAAAGATTTATGGGTTTTTATCTAAAGGAGAAAAGCTTAATGGACTACTCTTTTAGCGTAAAAATCCAATCCAAACCGGTTTGATACTCTAATATGTGATTATTATTGTCGTCAGTTTTATTTTCTTTTTCGTTTTCCAGAAGGGAAAAGTTTCAAGTTTCAATTCGAAATGGATCCATGAAGAGGAGAAAAAGAAGTGGTAGAGGTGGCAACGACTTTTTTTTTCCCTCTTTTTTCTTTTGAGAGGGCGTGAAGTAGTGGAAGAGAGAAGAGAGATAGAGAGGGAGTGAGTGGAAGAGGAAGAGGGTCACATGGAGTTGGAACGACGACGGAAACAGGAAACTTGACGGTGGAGGATGCCGGCGAAAGAAGCTCAATGGTGACAGAGCAAGAGGAAGAGAGCCATTGCTTTTTACATAAAAAAGAAATCAAAGTATTTTATACATTTGATAATTGATGTAAATATCTTTCAAAATAAAGTTTTACACCAGTTTTCGGTGTTCTTTTACATCCCAACCAAACACATACAAAAGTGGACCATAGTGTAAAACTACACCGAACTGGGATTTACACCTCTTCCAAACGCAGTCTAAATAGGGATGCCCATGTGGTGGTGCTGATCGGGTTTCAGGTTGGATTCAAGTAAAATAAACCCGATCCGTTGATATGGCTAAATCATGCTTTCATCCTTTTCCATCTTCATACATACATACATACATATAATGATAATATTAACATTAAATTTATAAAAGTGATCCTTACTAAGAATTGGAGTACCGTTTTCATATATGGCTAGGCTAAGTTTGGATTTGATCAGGCTTGGGGTGCAAATCTACATGGTTGTGAATGTTATACATATTGAGTGGGCTTGGGTTTGGTTGGAATGGACTGATTTCAGATTACCCAAGCTCAATTCAAGTTTAGATTGCGCCCACTCACTCAAGGTCTGTTTGGAAGGAATAATGTATTGTTTTTGCTGACATGGCAGCTCATTTTGTTTTTAAAAACAAAATCATTCACATTGCAGGACACCGTTAAAGTCTGTTATTTGACACACTACAGGTGAATATGTGGAGCACACATGACATGAGTACGTTGATGCCAATTTGAAGTTGTAGTGACCATATATACTTGTGGATCATTTCAAACATGTTGGCTGTATTTGCCATTATGGTCCTTTTTGCATTTTCTCTTTGGCATCATTGCTACCACCAAATTTCCCACTACAAAAATGCAAAATTTTGACTGTCAATCTGGATCGTGATTTTAAAACTTGATTTTTTGTTTCTGGTAAAATCTCATATACTACAACTAGATCCCAGGCCCACTCTCCGTTTATTTTGCTTACCTTTTAAGTATGCAAGATATATATATATATATATGACACATTCGTTTAATAGGACAATAATAAAAATGGCAATTTTCTTAAACTAACACTGTTTCTAACAATTGATATCGTTGTTAAGCACTAATGAAAAAAAAAACAAAACAAATATTGAAATTGCCTTTCACTATTCTTCAAATTTTTAAAATAAAATCCAACTGATGAAAAATTTCATGAACCTTTGTGAGTTTTCTGTCATCGTGCATTTGTCGTATATTGCGACCACCACCATTGTCACCGTCATTACTATCTGAGTGGTGTCTTAGCTAGCTGAAGCTTCCACGTGTCGGATTCCGTGGCCAACATCTTTGGACCATGGCAGCACACGTCTTCACAGTCACGTCATGGAAAGGCATCTCGAGGAAGCAAAGTCCCACACAAATAAGGAGACATGCCTCATCGAGGAAAGCGGGACCTCCCGAGAACCTTAGTGTGCAGCCTCATCCCGACAATCCCACGGACCTCATCCGACTACAATGGATGCTTAGCTATTTAAAGACATTTCCCCCTCGAGGTAAAGGACTTTTGCTACTCAGCATTCTGCTCTCATATCCATTCCTCACATCGGACTGCCCTCAACAACTCATCCCAACCGCTCTCAATTTCATGTTACTAACTTGAGCGTCATAGTGCCTTCCTAGGGAACGACTCCTCGGGCTTCTAATCCTCTGTATGGTTGCAGATTACCTTGATGCACAACTTTGTCCCTCCACCTCGACTTCATCCAGTTGGTAGGGATTTATCTTATTACATCCTCAGTTCGGTACACCATGGACCAAACAACATCAATTACCAACCCTTCTCTAGATATGTACTTATAATTGGGCCGGTCCAATTAATCGTCACACGATTAGAGGAAGGATTATTAATCCTGCTCCAATCCAAAAAGAGTTTGGTAATAACACTACTAAAGCTAGTAGAGAGAGAGCAGCAAACAAGACAATGCACAAATCCATGTCAGGTATTCCTGCTAATCTCCTCTCGTCTGGGCTCATTAGTTTGAGCCTCGCGCTAAAGCCTAAAACAATGCCGTATCAAAAGTGAAGTTATCGTTAACCAATGAAAAGAAAGAGAGCCTGCACAACCAAGCTGAGAGCAGAACTATAAGAAGTAGGTGGTGTATTAAGGAAAGCTCTCCAGAAGGTAACTCCACAAGTCTGGTAGTTACCAATGGAGGCTCTCAGTCTAACTTAATAGCTACCAATAAAGGATCTTTAGCAGCTGCCAATGAAAGATCTCCTCCAAGAATAGTAGTTACTAATGAAGGCTTTCATACAGGTTTGGCAACCAGTAAATTAGAAAGAGAATTAATTAGCAATCTTTGTACATAGGCAACTGCCTATTCTATTCTTAGTTTCTTTTATATTT